AGACCCCCCCCCCCCCCACCAGATTCCAACATGCCACAACAGTTAACGGGGAGTGCTGTGGGGAGGATTGCGGTGAATTTCCCGCAGAGAGGGAGGCCCAGGGTGGAGGTGTGACAAAGACAGGAATGCGTGCCTAATGAAAGGGAAGACTTCGCCTCAGGAAGACGGCTCCGGCGAAACCGCGGGAGGAGCCGCGGATCAGAGAGACGCGCTGTGTTTATCCCGCGCGACGCCGCGCCTGTCAGACACGCTCCGGCGGTGACCGTCGTGGCCATCGCGGTGGCCCCATGATGTTGTCGGTGAGCGCCGGAGTGCTAGCTGCAGTGGGAGATGAGGGGGGATCTGCCAGTGGATTCATGGTGAAGCTGAGAACATCTTCCTGGGCTTAGCGATGGGCCGGCTGAAAGTGGGAATGCAGTTGACCTGCAGTGCTACTCCAGTGACTTACGTAGACTCCTATCTCCACTGTATACCCACCTCCCCGTTGGTTAAAAGACGTCTTGTGTCCTCCATGGCTATTATTTTACAAGGCTAAGGAGCTCCTTGCTTGTTTTGACGCACTGAGCAGCCTGTTCTGTTCCCGGATAAAGATTAGTGGCTTAATTTCCCTCCTCAGGCCGGGTGGTATTCTGACACCGTTTTTGTTTTGCGCCCTTGCTGCCTCCTGAGATCAGGCTTTGGCAGCACCTCAGTCTGGCCCGCGTTTCCTGCAGAGCCGCGTCTCAGTGGGAGGCTGCCTTTGGCACAGGATATGGATGGCCGGGGGCCCCGCCCACCGCACTGCCTAAATTGTTCATGCCTGCAGTGCCGGGAAGCCTGTGCATGACAACATAGATCTTCTGTCGTGGTCAGGAAGTGTTGTGGGGGGGGGGGGTAGTTGGGGGCCTGTATGTGACAAGCTGAAGGTCGTGCTGTCATGCAATCCACACCCTAGTGCAAGGTCAGAGGGCGGGGCTCCCTCTGCTGGTGAAATGGGGGCATGGCAGGTCAGTGCCCCGCCCGCTCTGGGGGGGGGTTGGTGGAGATGCCAGGAGTCACACTGTAACCCAATCTTCTGAATTCCCCTGCAAAGGCAGAAAGGGGGCTTCTTCTGTGCCGGGCTGGTACTGTAATTACAGCCAGCTGGTAATGACAGTGTACCGCCCCTCTCGGAGACTGGGGAGGGGGGGCATCCTATAATTAGAGCCAGCCTCCTGCAGCAGTGTTGGGGTGGTACCGCTGTCTCCAGCCACCCTCCCCCTGGCTGCCACCACCACCCAGCCCATAAATAACAGGCCCTGTCTCTCAGGTCGGGAATTGGCCCTGCCGGACAGCCGCTCTCAGTGGGATGCTCTGGATTGTCCGGGCCGGAGCCGGCAGCAGGCACGCCTTACCTGCCGGCTTTATCCGCCGCCTTCACAGCTGGGCCGCCCACTGTATTCTGCCATCCGGTGGTGTCTTCTGATAATGCAAGTGCTTTTCAGTCTGAGCTCGGAGTGTTTCGTGTGGATCACCTAGCCTGCCAATAAAGCTGGACGCATTTGAATGTGGAAGAGCGCTCGGTCACACAGACCCACACACACACGGACACACACTCACACACACACAGACACACACACACACGGACAGACACACACTGACACACACACGGACACACACTCACACACTCACACTCACACACACACAGACACACACTCACACACTCACACTCACACACACACAGACACACAGACACACACTCACACACACACAGACACACACAGACACACACAGACACTCACACACACACAGACACACAGACACACAGACACACACACACACGGACAGACACACACTGACACACACACGGACACACACTCACACACANACACACACACACACACACACGGACAGACACACACTGACACACACACGGACACACACTCACACACACACAGACACACACAGACACTCACACACACACAGACACACACACTTGCTGTGTCCTGTGGTACACACATGACCACCCCCCCACAAACTTCACTCTGTGGGTCTGTGTGTTTCTCTTCCACCTCAGCAGTGATCCCAGTGGAGTGGGGCTGTCATCTGCCCCCTCTGTCATATCTCTTCGGAGGACTGACTGACCTTTAACTGATCCCACCCAGTAAAAAAAAAACCCCACTTGCTTACATTCCTTTAACCCTAAAATATCTTTGTTTTAAATGAAGGAATCTGCTGCTTTTGCCTGAGCGCCGCGTCACTGTTGTCTGACGTGACACCGCCTGCTGCCTTGGCCTTGTGTGTGACAGTGCTGCTTGTGGCCACTGGGGGGAGCTCTTACAGGCCTCTCACGTCTCATTCACGTGACAAATGGATGTTGTGTGGGACCCCGTGTACAGAGCGCTGTATCAGGGGCAGACTTTATGGCTGCTGGTAAATGAGAGCTATACTCGGACGGTGGGGGTGGCTTTCACAAAGGAGCCTTTGCGGAGCGCAGTAACGCTGCAGAGAAGCAGTTACCTTAATAACTTAGGAGTGGTTCTGTGCAAATCCCTCAGCGTGGACCAGGCGTCCGCTTTTTTCCAGGCTTGTGGGATAATTGTGTGTCTTGGTGCCGGAATGCTAGAGACTCAGGAGAAGGAAATGACTCAAAAAAGAAAAAAAGAAAAAAAGGGCGGCACCGCCTACTGATAGCGGCGCCGGAAAAAGTCACTGGCTGCCTGAAGCTGATGTACCCCCTCGATGTGCTAGGAACCGCGACTCGAATATCGACCTGCATTTCGTTTAAGCCAATAAAAATGATGAATTTCTGTGTTGCTCAAGGGGGATCTCTCGCGTCTGGATGGCGTGCATCTGGGCGGGAAGGTCTCGAGGATGCAGGCCAGAACAAGCAAGCAGGCCTGCCTCCATAAACCTCCGCGCTCACCCTGAGAGGCGCTGACAACAGGACAGACGTGTCACTTTTTTCACCCGTCTGTTTGCCCAGGAGGGGGGGGTTACATCTTGATGGGTGGGGTGGGGGGGGGGGGGGTTGTTGGGGGGGGGGGGGGGGGGGGGGGGGGGGGGGG